AAAAAATCCCAATAAGTGTATATTGATTGCTTTGTGTGAAAGCTATAGCGTTTACAAGCTATGGTATAGATAATGGAATTATAGTGAAGAAGAAAAAAAAAGAAAGACGGCAATTGATTTTTATAAAATCAGCACTGACATACACTTCGTATTGTGAAAAAAATTTGTAAACCGAGGCTTTATTTTCAATGGATTTTCAATCGTAAACCGAAAATTACGTTAACAGAGGCGTTCGTAAACCGAGGTATTACTGTATATGCTATGTTTTTTTTTTTTTTTTGTATGCAGCCTGTGGACTGAATGGGAAAAAAAAGAGAAGAAATCTCTGCCAGAAAAAGTGTGTGGTATGCCCACCATTAGAATATACCGCCCTGCATCCACCCACTACCAATGGTGGGCACACGGTGCTACATGCGCCAGTTCCAAGATTGTACAAATATCTAAATAGTAGCACACTTGAATAAAAATTGTCCATGTATAAGTGGTACCCCATATGGAAAAAGGATGACACCAAGTCCCAAACTATCTTGCCACTGCTCCTCATGTAGTCTGGGCATCTGGGGGGCTCCATGTGACTATCTTTTCCGTCTTAAATCCGAAACTTATAAGTATAGCCTGTTGCCCTCTTACAGGTGTTCTACATCTTGACCCCATATGTGGCACGCTTGCTGGGGAGAAATTGTTTGAATGCAAGGTGGCCAGAAAAATTAATGAGGGACTCATCAACGCAGATGTTTTGCTGGGGAGTATAGACATCTGCACATTTTTGGTTAAGTTGATTTGTGAGGGGCTGAATTTTTTTGAGCTGAATTTTTTTTGAATTTTTAGAGCCGGTCAAATTCAGGGTCACCCCAAGGATGACAGAGTGTATTGTTGTTGAAATGCATAAAAGATATGGCCATGGCAGCAGAGAACACGGGCATATGATGAATCGGGTCTGTGGACCAATACAACCGCAATTCATTTTTTTTAGTAATGCCCATGTTGAGGGTTAGGTCCAAAAAAATGTAAATTCGGAAACCGTAATGGGTTTCCATGCGAATGGTCTGGCAAGGTTTGATTCTGGGTTGGCGGCGATAAACTGTTGTGCATATTAATTGCTTTGATCCACAATCCATGCGTACAAATCTTCCGTGAAAAACAGCTCCAAAAAATCAAGGGGAGTAGTTAAATTTGCTATTTCCACCTGAATTCCGGGTTGGGCAGTGAAAGGGGGAAGTACATGTGCTGCAGAATTTGTGGGCTACCAATCGGAATTTGCAAGCACAAAGGATACTAGGGACTCTACGGGCCTTTGTGCGAATTCTTGGTGGTTGCGGGACAATACTTGTGCTCGCCACCGCACCAGCTTGTACTACACTTATGGGACTCGCCACATCACCAAGTGATACTGCAGTGCTGGTATTATTATTATACAGGATTTATATAGTGCCAACAGTTTGCTCAGCACTGTACAATGTAACGGGAGACAATACAGCAACAATGCAGGTCAATACAAGAGGGTTAGGAGGGCCCTGCCCCTTGAAAGACCAGGAAGTACTAGGCCACTAGTACTCAACAGTTCACCAAAAGGTGGCGTGGCACTTGTACTGGCACTCTGCTGCATATGAGAGTCATCAAAATTTACCGGTAAGTGCTAACAGAGATCAGGCCTGACTCTGCCAACACTGCGGTTTTTTTGCTTGCAATGTATCAAGTGACAGTGACCTACTGACACTGCACTTGCTGGGGGAGAAGGGGGGGAGCGTAGGGGCTAAATGCAGGTGCTGGCAGGTACCGGGGCTGATCCCGCTAACGCTGCATTTTGGGGGACGCTAAATTAATGTGAATGCTGGTATAGTGCTGATCTGATCAAACATATTGATCTGTTCAGACACTATACTAGCAATGGAGGTTCATTGTGTATGAGCGTCTTCCTGGTAATCGAGGGGTTAAATGTGATGACTGGTGTACTGACGGGCAATCTGATGCTATCTGGGAGGGGAGTGAAAACCAGGGGAGTGCGAATCACGTGTGTGTGTGTGTGTGTGTATATATGTATATATATATATATATATATATATATATATATATATATATATATATATATATATATATATAAAAAACGTGTGTGTGTGTGTGTATATGTGCTTTTGCACACCTGTGCCCCCTGTAGCAGTATTTCTACTATAGGGCGGTCAGGAAGTGGTTACATAAGCGGTTTGTGTTATGGCGCTGCATCATTTTAATTGACAATTGCATGGTCATGCAACTCTGCACAAACATGACATTTACATCCTTTTTTCCCCATGAATTGGGCTTTCTTTCAGTGGTATTTGATCACCTGTGCGTTTTTTATTTTTTGCGCTATAAAAAAAATTGACAATTTTTGCTATAAAACGTACAGTAAAAAAATGTAAAAATCTAATTTCGTCATAAATTTAGGCCAAAATGTATTCTACGACATGTCTTTGCTCAAAAAAATCCCAGTACGTGTAAATGAATTGGTTTACGTGAAAGGTATAGCGTTTACAAATGGCGGTATAGATACTGGATTTTTTTTGTATACTAATAATAGCGGCGATCAGCGACTTATGGCAGGACTGCGGTGGACATTCTGACACTGGGGGGGAACTGACTTGGGGTCACCAACATCCCCAGTGACACCAATACAGTGATCAGTGCAAAAATAAAACACACTGACACTGTACTAATGGCACTGGGCAGGCAGGGTTACCATTTTTAGGCAATGAAAGGATTACCTCTGTGAGGGGAGTGTTTTACTAGAGGGCGGGGGTGTGTTCTTCACTGTTGCACTCTGTCCCAGAAAGCTAAGTTCTGCTCTCTGGAACAGTGAGCTGGGAACTGACAGGGAGCAGAGCTGCATTGAAAACAATACAACTGTGCTCTGTGTCAGTGTTTGCCGGCAATCACCGCGATCCAGCGGGTAATCACTGGCCGGGATCCGGTGATTGACACCTGTGGCCACGATCAGTGCTGCGGGCAGGGCGGTCGCGCACCTCGTGCGCGCCCCCTAGCATTTAAACAATGATCACATTTATATACGTGATCCTGCCTACAGGGGCTGCTTTGCAGCAGTATATGTACTGTGGGCGGTCCCCTAGTGGTTAAAGCAATGCTCTGAATGCCAATTAAAGCCCCTGTCACTAAATAAATTGGTAAGCTTACAGTCCTGTTTACATGTTGCGTTTTGTTTTGCTTTGCTTCTCTTCAAAAATTATACCCCATGTCGCTTTCTTGATGCTTTAAAACCTCTCCAAAACCTCCATATAAGTCTATAACAAAGCTCGCTAACAGCACCTGCAGCTTTTAAAAGTTTTTTTTATTCAGCTTCCATGTCAGAGCTCACTGAACTTCAAAGAGGGCAAATTGTTGATGCTGGCGCCTCTGCGACTGAAGTTGCCAATTTATTTGCCGTGTTGTGAGGTTTCCAGGAAAATGGCGTCTGCTGAGCATAAGCGCAGTCAATATGGTCAACTGACCAAAAGGACATTGCTCAGGATTTTGACTCAGAATAAGAAAACATCTGCTGCAAAAGTGACTGCTGAACTCATTCTCAGTCCTGTGAAGACTTGAGATGGAGCTCTGCAGTCACTTTTGCAGCAGTTGTTGACAATGTCAGTCACTGAGGTACCAGCTAAGCGGGCACCAACAATTTTCCCTCTGAAACTCAGAATACATAGTGTGCTCTTTAACCAGTTACCAACCGCATATAGCCGAATGACAGCTACGCTGTGGCCAGCCAGTTCTGGGAGGGCGTCATATGACGTCCTCCCAGAACGCGCTCTCCTGCGCGCCCCTGGCAATCTCCATGATCGGTGTGTCCTACGGACACAGCTGATCACGTGATGTGGTAAAAGGCCAATCACAGCAGCCTTTTACCACGTGATCAGCCGTGTCCAATGAAAAGAAAGCTCTATTTATGAGAAAAAAATGATAAAAATTTTCATATGGATACAATCTTGCATGACCTCGCAATTTTCATTCAAAGTGCGACAACGCTGAAAGCTGAAAATTGGCCTGATAAGGAAGGGGGTATAAGTGCCCGGTAGGCAAGTGGTTAAATACCAGTAATAAAATAAATAGCTGTATCAAGACACTTAGTATTGATACAGCTATTATCATTGCAGTTTACCAGTTTACAGTTCTATATTGCGGCTTAGCAGTGGCTGCATTAGTTTGCTTTTTTAGGCCTTGTACCTCCGTTTTCTCCTGGCGATCTAACCAGTAACACACTTCCTGTATTAGAATGCTGCCTCCACTCTGGATGGAGGAGCACAGTGGGTAACAATATCTGTCTGAGGGGAGTGTTAGATGTACTAGCAGATTTAGGTATGCTAACAAAAATTAAAGCCAAACTCAAGGTCACACTGAAGTTACACATAGTGTTACAGCAATATTTTTTTTGGTGGGGATAAAAGTTTCAACCTTTTTACTGCCAGGTCCATTAAAGCTGCAGCCACCGGGAGCGTGTGTATATCTTACAAGCCAACTGCCATCTGTCAGATGGAAGTGATCTGGTGGCTGGGTAGCCACCCAATCACTTTCAAACACACCTGGTAATGGCTGACATCACCCTCCCCCCCCCCCCCCCAAAAAAAAAAAATCCATGGCCCTACGAGCCCACTATCATGCCTGGGACAGTTGTTGTTGGCCGCATGAAATTGTGGATAGTTTCATGAGCACTTAGTGGTGTTGAAACGAGAGGACTATTACACAAGGGAATTGAAGAGACTTTGTGGACATTGTTATTTTATTGTTTTGTATGTGATTGATCATGATATAATAATTTGGTTATTTTATAAAAGCACTACAATATTGTGGTATAAAGGTTTACACCCAAGCACATAACCCACCTTCCCAACAAACACACACAAAATTGATGAGCTGCAATATATTAAACGTTTGCTTTTGGGATTAATATCGCTTTAATGAATACGTACAGTCAAAATGTTGACCACACGTTTACATTTGTTTTTATTTAATTATTTTTTTTGCAGGTAGTAATCAAGACCAAATCAGGAGAGGTTATATATCGTATCTCACCATGGGCAAAATATGTGGTTCAGGAAGAAAGAAAGGTGGTTTATGACTGGGTGCATTGGGAACCTGCAATTCCTTACAAAGTAAGGCTCTTTCTGAGTGTAATATATTATGTTTGCAGGAGAGCCTCGGCTGTTGCATTGGTGATTCTCTGTCTGGGCATTACTAATCTGCAGATATTGCTGGCCTGATGATTTCACTATTTTAACTTTGTAATCCCCTTGATGACCAGGGTTAAAATACCCAGACCCAATTTTGCAACTTTTGTTAGTGAAACCACATATGATTGCAACTACTTTGTGTATCCAGGTGGATCATGCCTAGCTATTTTTCAGGACAAAATTGGGCTTTTGTTTTGGTGGTAAGTGGTAATTGATATCTATATATATCTATATATCCATCCCCACCATCTTTATCTGAGTCATATCTCAATATACCTGCTCTAGAAGGGCTAGGCACAGAGCTGAATGAAGAGGACCTAGAGGAGGTGTTAGAGAAGGCTGCACAAAACAAATCTAATCCCTAGGCTCCTATACAATTGATGTTACGGCTTGAAAGAAATCCAGCCATTTCTTTTTGAGCAAGGCTTGGAGTACAAAATTCACCAGGTCTATTCCAAACCCCTCTTCCTAATGAAGGGGTGCCCTTACTCCTAAGTTAGGGGACATCTTTTTCAGTTTTCCTTTCTCTAGGTCACAGACTTCCGAGACCTTTGATTTTGAAGGGGTACAAAATAGAGTTCTACTCCTTAACCATTTTCTTCTCTCAAAGAAACCAAAGATTCCACAGTCAGAATTGCAAAATGCTGTGAACCATCTCTTGTCCCAGGGAGTGGTTGTTCCAATACCTCTGGGAGACAAATTCATAGGATTCTATTCTAACCTGTTGATTGTACAAAACAAACAATAGGGGTATTCATCTTACCAAGTATCTTTCTGTTTCAAATTTTTATATTGAATCTGCTAATGTCTCTCTGAGAAAGGTGGAATCCCTGGCATCCCTAGATATCCAAGATGCCCATCTGCATATTCCCATTTATCCATTTCATCAGCACTTTCTGTGCTTCACATAAGGAGACAAACACTTTTCAGTTTGTTGCACTGTAGGACTCTCTCTTTTGCTCCCAGAGTATTCACAAAGGTACTTGCACCCCTTCGAGCCCCTTAAGAATTTAGAGTTTAAGGTCACAGGGTGTCTACAATAGGTAACCTTTGTCTGAAGGACTCCTTGCCCTTCCAGCTTTCTGCAAATGTATATAGGACTTATCAGGTACTTTTTGGTTGGGTAATCAATGCCCAAAAATCTGATCTCCAACCCCCCGTTGCATGGAGTACTTGGGCCTCATCCTAGATGATATACTGGAGAGTGATAAAAATGGCTCTGCACCACAGGATCCCTTTCTTCAGGGACACCCAGTCAGGGTGAAATCAGACAACGCCACAGCTTTGACTGACAACAATGATCAAAGGGTTACCAAGAGTCATGCAGCCTTAAAGCAAGCAAGACAAAACACTGTCCAGGGATTTGTGCTGTCCACAGTCAAGGAGTGTACTATAGGAAGGCGGATTACCTCAGTCGTCACCACCTGAATCAAGGGGAATGGGCCCTCAACTTGACATTTTCTTCAACCATGGACAGGTTAATCACGTCTTCTGGCGTGCGTAAATCTGACCACTGAGTTCAACAAAAAGTTACCTCTGTTTATGGCTAGGACCAAAGATTCTGTAGCACTGGCGTTGGATGCTGTACTCATTCCCTGTAATCAGTAAAGGAGGCGTATTAGGGCTTCCTTGGCAATTCAGAATTAAGCTTCTCTTCAAGTTTTAAGGAAAAAATCATGGCCAAATTTTTATTTTCCCTTTCAATTGTGCTCTGCCTGCACAGCATGAGTTAACTGCTTGTTTTTGTCTAGGAGATTGCAGAGCAGAGATATACTTACTAATCTGCCAATCCTCTTGAACGCAAGACAGGTCTTGTGAATGGATTGTTCCTTACGTCATCACACCCATACACCGCCTTTAGACATGAGGGCGGCAGGGAACAGTCCACCACTGGGGGGGAGCACAGTTTTCTGGAGGTTCGAAAGGATCGGGTAAGTATAGCTTTTACTTGTGCCCCTTGACAAAACCAGCAGTTAACCCAAGCAGTGCGGGCACAGCCCCACTGCATGGGAAAAAATAACATTTTTGCCCGGAATCCTTCTTTAAGGCAGCCACCTGGTCTTCTCTTCACACCTTTTCCATTTTACACCAGGTAGATTTTCACACCTCTGCAGATTCCAGTTTTGTATGAAAAACCTTTTAAAGTGTCTTTGTAATGCCATTTTCCCCTGTTCTCTTTAGCATTTTGATGTGTTGGCCTTGTTGCTCTGTTACCCACCCTTCATGTTCAGGGCTTTGAGACATCCCATGTAGTCATGAATTTGAAGTACCCTGTGTCCTTTGATGTGCGATAAAGAAACTAGGATTTTTGGTTTACTTGTAAAGTTCTTTTCTTGGAGTACAATATGAGACGCACGAACCTATCGCTTTTTTGTCTGTTCCTCATTACTTGCTACAAGACTGAGGCTAATGCCGACCATAGACTGTTCGAAAATCGGCCGATTTTTCGGCCGGAAAAAAAAAAATCGGCCGATTTTCTCACTGTTAGTGGGTTAATTGGTTGGCTGTTTTCGGGTTTTTTTGCACTGAGATTATCGGTCATGTTGGAAAATGTTTGGCTGATTTGGACGATCGGTCGATTTTCCCGGCAATGATGGCCAAATCGGCCTATCGTTTTAACAATAAAAAAAATCTGCGCATGAGCTGTGACCTGCAAGGGAAAGAAGTTATGGGGTGAACTTTATGATTTAGTTGGCCAATTTTTTTAATCGTTGGTAGTAACGTCGAACGAACCGATTTTTCGTTTATTGTTTGAAAAATCGGCTGATGTTTGACCCGTCTATGGTCTGCATTAGCTGAGCTGGGAAGGATTATGAATAGGTGGGAATTTCTTGCCTTTTTTTGGCCAGTTTTTATTCACCTGTAGGTGACAGCACAACCCGAGCAGACATCAATACAAGTACCCTGTTTCCTGTAATGTATTCGAAAAAAGGGGTTTTACAGGTAAATCAAAATGAATAAAAGTGCCGGACAAACATGTTGCTCCTGGGTGTTCCTGTCTTTTTTATAGTCTTCAAATGCCATTTGAACTTGTCCCCTTACAATGTACACACCATGTTTGTGATTATATACAGTGCATTCATAAAGTATTCAGGCTCTGTTCACTTTTTTCAGTTTTGTTATGTTGCAGCCTGATACTATAGTTGTTTAAAGTTTTTTTTTTTCTCATTAATCCACACTCAGTACCCCATAATAACAAAGTGAAAACAGAATTTTATAAATGTTTGCAAATGTATGAAAAAGGAAAACTGAAATATCACATTGTCACAAGTATTCAGAGCCTTTGCAACAACACCTGAAATTGAGCTCCGCTGCCTCCTATTTGTCTTGATGGTTGCTAGAAATCTTCTACACCTTGGTTGGAGTCCACCTGTGGTAAATTAAATTGATTGGACATGATTTGGAAAGGCACACTCCTCCCTTTAAAAGGCCTCACAGCTAACAATGCATACTGTATGAGGGCAAAAGCCATGAGGTCAAAAGAACTGCCTATAGAGTTCAGAGACAGAATTAATGAAAAATCACAGATCTGGGGAAGGCTACAAAAATGATTCTGCTGCACTGAAGGTTCCCAAGAGCACAGCAGCCTCTATCATTCTCAAATTGAAGAAGTTTGGCCCAACTAAGATTCTTTTAAGAGCTGGTCGCCCGGCGAAACTGAGCAAAGGGGGAGGAGGGCCTTAGTAAGAGAGGTGACCAAAAACCCGATGGTTACTATGAGTGAGCTCCAGAGATCCTGCGTAGAGATGAGACAAAGTTTTAAAAGGACAACCATCACTGCAGCCCTCCACCAATCTGGGCTTTATAGCAGAGTGGCTAGATGGAAGCCTCTCCTCAGTGCAATACACATGAAAGCCCGCTTGGCGTTTGAAAAAAAGTTGAATGGTGCAAAGTACAGAGATATTCTCAATGAAAACCTGTTCCACAGTGCTCAGGACCTCATACTGGGCTGAAGGTTCACCTTCCAACATGATCATCCTAAGCACACAGCCAGGACAACACAGGAGTCGCTTAGGGACCACTCTGTGAATGTCCTACAGTGTCCCAGCCAGAGCCCTGACTTGAACCCTTTTGAACATTTCTGGAGAGACTTAAAAATGGCTGTCCATGGATAGTCCCCATCCTTCCTGACTGAGCTTGAGAGGGTTTTGCAAAGAAGAATGGCAGAAAATCCCCCAATCCAAATGTGCGAAGATTGTTTTGTCATACCCAAAAAGACTCAAGGCTGTAATTGCTGTCAAAGATGTTTCAACAAAGTACTGAAAAAAGGGTCTGAATACATAACTACATGTGATATTTCATTTTTTTTTCTTTTTAATAAATTCACAAGACCTTTCTAAAATTTTGTTTTCACTCTGTCATTATGGGTACTGAGTGTAGATTTAATGAGATTGAATTTAAACAGCTGTAGTATCAAGCAGCAACATAACAAAACTGAAAAAAAGTGAAAAGGGTCTAAATACTTTATGAATGCACTATAATCACAAACATGGTGTGTACGTTGTAAGGGGACAGGTACATATGGGGGCACCTGATCAGCCAGTCGTCAGGCACTACAATAAAAAGTGAGACAGTTGGAAAAGGGAAGGGAGGGGCAAATGTTTCAAAATGATAGGCACCAAGATTATGTAGAAGTCAAATTATTGATAGCCTGGAATGTATAAGTATCAGCAGCTCTCTTATGTTTGATGTATTGGAAGTTTAATGTTAGATGAGAAGCTTTCACATCTGAATGGATGCAATGATTCTCAATGCAACCATGAACTTGACTGTGTGCCCCTAGAAAAAGTATTTCTATCTACTTGTCACTTGTTTAGAGTGATGTCAGTGGATACCCTAGAGTAAAGGGTACAGTGTGTGTACTTTAACCTGGAAGGTTTGTATCAAAATTAGTTTGTTCGTAAAATATATTTTTTTATTTTAGCATCAACATGAGCGTCCACGAAGACCAAAAAGTGTACGAATATATGAGTCACATGTTGGAATTGCATCCCCAGAAGGAAAGATTGCTTCCTATAAAAATTTCACCCATAATGTCTTGCCCAAAATAAAGGAACTGGGTAAGTTACATTAATAATTGTCTGGTTCCCTGTAGGTTGTCACATTTTGCTGTAGAATCAGTATGTTTCCCCTCTTCAAACCTAGAACTCACTTTCTATCCTAAAGTTCACCTTTTGTCTTTTTCACCTAGAAAATATTCTAAGCTTTGAAATACTGCCTGTAGGATCATGGGAAATGATGCATTTAGTTCGAGACCTCAGTATTCCTTTAATAGCTAAGAGAGCAAAGTTCTTTTAAAGAATACATTTCTTTTGTCTTTGACTGAAAGTTTAGCTAAGTACATATTGCTATAAACTATTTTTATTAGAAGGCCTTTATAGGGATTATAAGAATAAAATATACAACAAAATTGCAGTACCACTTTTTACATTGAAACAATGCCTTACACATATATAAACATTTCACTCTATAAAAAAAAAAAAAAAAATAAGTTAAACATTTGTACCATTAAAATGTAACAATACAGTTCCATACTGGTATATAATCGTATAGTTGATTTTCTCAATATCTGTTGGTATAAATTGCATACAGACAGCTTTTCTTAGTCCCTACTATTTTTATGTGTTTCTCCTATGTGGTGTGCTTGCAACAGACAATTTTCTTTCTTTCTATTATGAGAAGAGATATAAATGCTTCTTTGTTTTATTTTATTTTATCTTTTTAGTTAGTTTTACTTAGAAAGCAGCCACAGCTCGAGAAGAAAAGACTGTCACCTGCTAGCAGTCTGGCTTGTTCACACCATAATGCACATGCGCTGGCATATGTTTTTATATTGTGCCACTCTGCAATGCATTTTAGCTAGGGTTGCGCCAATACCGAAATCAGAGGTGACACTAAGCATTTGCACAAGTAAGAGCACTCGTGCAAATGCTCTCATATCTGAAACCGATGCCTTTTCAGTGTGATTTGAGCCCATACAAAATGAATGGGCTCATATTGCACTGCAAAGAATCACATGTGACTTGAACAGAAATATGGTACGATTCCTTTCTGAATCACATGTGGTTTCCCTGCGACTGCTCAAATCGCACTGGAGATCATATCGCACCCACAGGGAAACTGCATGTGATTCAGACAGGAATTGCACCGCATTCCTGTTCAAATCACATGCGATTCTTTGCAGTGCAGTTTTAGCTCATTCATGTTGTATGGGCTCAAATTGCACTGCAAAGGTATTGGTAATCAGTATTGTTGAGTGTTAAGCACAAGTATCGGTACTCATACTCGCTGATAAAAATATGGTATCGGTGCAACCCTAATTTTAACACTTGTTGAATTGCATTTTTTTAACCTTATTTTGGATTTATATGGTTTTACATGGGCTGCAATGCACTGCAATACAAGAGCCGCTGGATTACGTTTAGTGGCGGTGACAGGGGGCCCCCCCTCCCATCTTTAACAGGCTCTCTCAGATGATCGGGGAGCCCAGAAAGGATGTGACGGGCTGCATCTGACTCCAGGCACAGAGTGAGAGGAACAAATGTCATTCCTTCCACATTGTCACATTATGAACCCGAAGTGTCAGGGATTTTGTCACTTCCAGTTTTGGGTCTTTATTTACAATCTAGTTTTAGCTTGTGAAACATCAGATTGAACTGATCTGGGTTTCATCCAATGTTTTCAAGGGCAGTGGAGACATCTGGGGTGATAGACCCCAGGGGGTTTATTTACTAAAGCTGGAGAGTCCAAAATCAGACTCCCTTCTGCATAGAAACCAATCAGCTTCTAACCTCAGCTTGTTCAATGAAGCTTTGGCAATGAAACCTGGAAGCTGATTGGTTTCTGTGCAGAAGGGAGTCTGATTTTGGACTCTCCAGCTTTAGTAAATAAACCCCCAGATGTCTCAGTAGAGAGGACCTGTCACTGCTTATTGTTATCACAAGGGATGTTTACATTCCTTGTGATAGCAATAAAAGTGATCAAAACAAAAATTAAAAAAAATGTAAGTGATTTCAAAGCAAAAAAACATGTTTTGCCTTAATGCATTCTTTGCATTAAGTTAAAAAACATTTTCTATCTTTTTGAAGCCACCCCTGCCAACCCCCCCCCCTTTCCCTGTGTAAAGGGGAAAAAACAGGGGAGTAGAGATCCAGCGCTGTTCATGGCTGCATCTCTTCTTCCCTCTCTTTCTCTTCACACAGCGCTCAAGCAGCCTTCTGTTGTCAATCAAATGCAATGAGGAGGAAGTGGGGGCAGGGCCTAGTCCTGTTTGTGTGTCTATGAAGCACGGCTCCATAGACACACAGCTCAGGAGGAAGCGGACACCTTGTGCCCCCATAGCAAAAAGCTTGCTATGGGCACACACAAAGAAGAGGAGAAGCCAAGATCACTGGCAGAGGGAGACTGAGAAGAGGAGTATCAGGGCCACTCTGTGCAAAACCACTGCACAGAGCAGTTGAGTATAACGTGTTAGTTATTTTGCTAAAAAAAACCTTTTGACTTCCGTAGCACTTTAAGGAGCCAGTGTAAAAATAAAATAAAAAGTTAAATAAATAATACAATTTAGATAAAAATTTAAGGCCCCCTCCGTCCCACTGTGCTCAAACAATGGTGATTGCCCATGTCAGTCCCGCACACATACATAAACGACAATCGCACCACACATGTGAGGTATCACCATGAACGTTGGAGCGAGAGCAATCATTCTAGCAGCTGACATCCTGTGTAACTCTAAAATGGTAATAAAAAGAAAATAAGGATATAATACGCATGCACTGCCACAAATAAATGATAAGCTGCTGCAAACACCTAAATGTGTTCCCACATCAATAAGACTCTCCAAGAATAGTGCTGCACTGCCCCCTAGCAACCCAAGAAAATACACTAATAATAAATAAACACTTTCCTGAGCATCAAACCCAATGTGTAATAGAATAAATCTGTGAAACAAAAACAGTAGTAAATACATAAAAAAAAAACTGTCTGACCCACTAAATCCAAATGATATGTGAAACATATATCAAAAATAAACCAAAATCAAGTAGCAATTGACACCTGGCCAGCCTATAATAAACATCCAGCTAAGCTGAAGAATAAAGTGTATCCTCTGCTTCCACAGGTCTCTCCAGGCACTCACAGGAACAATCCTGTACTTCCCCTCTCTGATGGAAAGCTGCTCAAAAGATAAGGAACTCCTCATAGTGTAGTAAGGCTTTATCACCATAAAAAATGGCACTAACATAGATACAAGGTTCACAAAACCTATTGCACACAAGTCACATCTATTCTTCAGGAATCCCTGAGGTTTTTTTTTTTTGGGGGGGGGGGGGGGGGGGGTTTAAAACTGTGTTTGAAAAACCTCTGTACAAACACCGTGTGACATAAAAACTAGCAAAACACACCATTTTATTGTCTAGGGCCTCTGCTTAAAAAACAAAACACAAACACATACATATATATATATATATATGTATATATATATATATATATATATATATAAAACGTGTGGGGTTTCTGATTAGTTTTTTAGCAAAAATGTATGGTTTTTACATGTAAGAGAGGAGAGTCAGAATTGGTACAGACTGGAAGTGGTTAAGCAAAATAAGGTGGTAAACATAAATGTGTATGGAGTGGGCCTGCACAGTTATTATAAATTAGGATGCACTAATTAGGTTCTCGCATAGGCCCAGTCCTGTAATCTATAGAAGAGCTTTGTTGTTGAAACACCATTTTCACTGTCAAATTATTTTTCACTGTGAACAATGTTGAATCATTAAAACAAGCTTTTCATAAACACTGTAAAGATAGCTGCAGTATGTTCACGCTTCTCCATGATCAATAAGACAGGATGTTCAGAATTTCAGAGGAGGGGAAAAAAACAGAATTTATTACTGTGCTCTTAATAACCTGAAGGTTATCCTTTAGTGATATTAATCATTTGCTGTCTGTTTGAAGGGGGATCTCTTTTTCTGACATTAAAGTTTGACTTGAGAAGGATTTGTTCTAACTTCTGTGGATTTATCACTTAACTATTTTCCCTTCAGGTTTCCTTCATTTTGTATCAAAGAATGGCAGTTTAACTAAGTGACAAAAAGTGGGTAGGGAGGTTTTTTTTTTACAAACTATTTTCTTTTTGTATTGAATTAGGTGGGTTTTTTTTGTTTCTTTTTTACTCAAAGAGATCTACACTGACTTTTATGTCTGTTCATTTTAAGAGCTTCCTTGAGGGACTAGAATGTGATAAGGAATATGTAAATGATTAAAGATATAAGTTGGAAACGTATTTACGAAAAAAAAAAAAGCCCTGGTTAAGCATAAGGCACAGTACAAAACAATCAATTACTTCCGCCTGCTTTCATGATCTACCTTGCAAATATCAAAAGTGCAAGTGAAGTTCAGGACATGCAGATGGGCATAGTTAGTATTCAGAAGTCAAACTGCTTTTTGTATTTGCATTTTGCTCATTTTTCCTTCTTATTAAAATAGAAAATGCTACATTTGTTGGTCTTTTGGACATGTCAAAGTGACCTTTTCCCATCATTTACATGAAGGTCATTAGCATTAAAATATTAAGCTGGCTTTAATGTTAGTTTGCTGCTTGGATTTCTATTTACATTCTAATGAAAAATATCGATTTGAGGCTGGTGTACTTTTTGGGGTGGAATTTTTTGACCTGCTTATACCATAGAAACCTGAATATATGTTGAGGAATCGCCTAGAGAAAATGGAATTCCTTATGTCAAATATTTATTTTTGTTTTAGTTTTTTACATTAAAGCGGAACCACACTGCATTTGAGAACCACAAACCAAAAGTGCTATTCAATTCATTTTTTTAGTCAAAGCAAACTTCCCCATCCATCCATGTCTTTGCTTTATTTGGTAAGAAATCACTTTGAAAAACAACCCCCTAGCATTACTGGTCGTGTCCATCTTGAGTAAGGGCAGATAACTCATGTAGCATTTACTTTCTGGAATTCATCAGCCCTTACCTCAGCCATGCAGACAGGAGGGTGTACTTAGCTGAGAAAACCCCCCTCCTCCCCTCCTGAAGACTCCTGAGATGTATGACATCATTTGCCTAGGCATGGAAACCCGGAAGTAACAAGAAATGTAAAAAAAAAAAGCTTAAAACAAGTTAATATGACATAATTTCCTATGTATTTACTAATGCTGTCAACGTAAGGATTACATATAGTCCATGTTGATTGAGAGTGTAAAGTTCCACTTTAAAGTAAAACTGGCCTCAAATTGAAATAGGTGCTACAGCACTTAATTGTAAGAGCCAATCAAAACGCAGTGTGCTGCAAACAAATGCATTGTGACCCATCATAATAAAGTAAATGGATGTAAACACACCTCAGTGCACGTTAAAACGTTTGTAAAGGTTTTTTAATTAAAGTAACAATCATGTTATATTTGCTCTGTGCAATAGTTTCGTACAGAGTGGTTCCAAACCTCCTCTTCTGGGGTCTTCAGCAGGCGGCTCCTCTTCTCAGTGTGCCACAATAGGAAGCTGCTTCCTTTGATGGCACATGTGCAGGCTTGATCCCAAGTCGGGCGGTGTGCGTCTATTGACACACACAGCGTGGCTTAGCCCCACCCCCTGCTATCTGTTCATAGGATTTGATTGACAGCAGCAGAAGCTAATGGCTCCTACTGCTGCCTTTGTGAGCAGAGATCCGCTTCAGATGAGCATATTGCTGGATCGAGATAGGACTCGGGTAAGTATAAAGGAAGGGGGGGGGATGCGATAGGAACACTGGTACATATTTTACCTTAATACAGGGAATGCATTAAGGTAAAAAATGTCCAGGCTTTAGAACCACTTTATTTTGGCAACCGCTTCATTTTTTACAGTGCAACGCCCAGGACACACAAGACACAAAACGTGCAAGTGATGTGACTGAACCCTAAGTGAATCTTAATTTACAGTTTTTCCTTAGATCCCTTCAAAGCATAAATACCTGTTAATCCCTCCATTACAATCTGTCTCATGCAACTTCCTGTTATGGGGTGATATTACTACTGAATACAGAGCAAGGTTGTTACCTTCATGCATGCTGGGCCTGCTTGCACTACAAGGGGGTTGAGGTGCAAGGTGTTGCAGGGTGTATATCTATCATTATTGTTACTGCTTATTGACAGGCCTGTAACTTGTCAATCAGCAGCTGCCACACCTAGTCCTCTTCACTGCTTTTCAATTGGCAGTGTTGCCTTTGCTGCTGAAACTCTCCAACTGTTAGTGGCAAATTTGGCTGATTTAGATAAGGTAAAGGATGATTTTCACTTTATAAAGTTTTTGCATCACATAGTAACTGGATTTGGGCCTTTAGCACCCGGTTGAGCCAGAGAAAGCATGGATTATTACAGATGTCTATCTATATGTTCCATTGGAGTATGCATGCCCGCTGACTACTGAGGAGCAGGGTCACATCTGGAAGTGATGCTTCTAGTCCTCACTAGACATACGCACCAGCTGCCCTTAGACTTGGAAAGGAGGGTGATTGCAGTTGCATGAAAAACAGTGAATCCTGCAAAATAAAGGTGTAAACACTGTGATTTTTGCATTTTGGGACATAATGCTCTGCTTAGCTTACAACAATGATTCCCAGGGAGTGTTTATGTATACATTTTTTTTCCTTTTTAAGTACATATAGGTCTCTAAGCTTAATATATTTATCAACGTTTATTTCATACAGGCTATAACTGCATACAAATGATGGCTATCATGGAACATGCATACTATGCAAGTTTTGGTTACCAAATCACCAGTTTCTTTGCTGCATCAAGGTAAAAATAAAAACTTGTACTTTAAAAATATTATCTGTAAAAAAAAAAAGTTGCTTTTACCTTCATTAAAAGCATGATAATTTTTTTGGCCTGCCAATTGCTGTAGTGATTTTGAACACAAACATACATAATTTCAAAACGTAAACTGAGGGTGAATACACTATATATCACAGTAAATCACAATAAATCACACAGTATATATCCTTTTATTGAGGGTGAATACACAGCCATGTTCTTTAACGTTTTCTATATGCTTACTTTTACAGTCGTTATGGGACACCAGATGATTTGAAAGAACTAATAGATGTAGCTCATTCTATGGGAATTGTAGTTCTGCTGGATGTAGTTCATAGCCATGCATCAAAAAACAGTGAAGATGGACTCAACCAGTTTGATGGTACAGATTCCTGCTTCTTTCACGATGGACCAAGAGGCAACCATGATCTCTGGGACAGCAGGCTGTTTGACTACGCCAAGTGAGTATAGGTTTTATTTGTAATGTGCTTTTTTGACACTTTTATTTTTTTTTTTTATTCTTTTGTTCTTTATATCATGTGAGTCAGGGGTAGGCAGCATTTGAGAAGTGGAAGTCTGCCTGAACAACATGGAAGAGATCACAAATCACCAAGATGCAGTGTCCTTTTTCTTTTTTAAACAAGTTAGCAAGGTTCCAATAACAAGTAAAAGGATGGCATGAAGAAAAATATAATAAGAGAAATGTCACTGTGAAAAACATAAAACTTAGGCAAGCTTAAAAGTTATTTTCAGTGAAAAACTTGGCTTCCATTCACAATTTTTGGAGAGTAATTGGCAGACAAATCTGATGCAGGAGTCCATCCTTGCTAGACTATTTTCAGGCCTAGCTGGCCTCAATTATAGCCTGGCTATCTGCTCTGAGTTCTGTCCCAACTGGCTGGGTTGAGTTCTAGTCAGTTTAAATAGTGTAAGAGCAGTGTCTAAGGGTCATTAGTATGTAGGGCAATTTGCAGGGATCATTGTAGGGCAGTGTACTGGGGTCATTAGTATGTAGTGCAGTGCGCAGGGCTTTGCAGTAAGTATGGCAGTGCACAAGGGTCATTATTATGTAGGGTATAGTACAGGTGTCCTAGTTTGTAGGGCAAAGTACACGTGTCTGAAGTAGTAAAAGAAGTAGTAGAAGAAGTAGGGCAGATTATAGGGGGCAATAGGGCAGTATACAGTGGTGGGTCAACAGGGCAGTACACAGGGACTCTGTAGGTCAAAGGATAGAGGTCAGCAGGGCAGTGTACAGGGGTGAGAGTAGAACAGTGGATAGGGTCAGTAAAGCAAAGGGGTCAGTAGGGGGGAGGGCGGGATGTTAGCAGGATGGAACACAAGGGTCAGCAGAGCAGAGGACAGGAATCAGCAAGGCAGTGCACAAGAGAGACAACAGGTCAGAGGACTGTCCTACTGACCCCTGTCCTCTGCCCTGTTGACTTGCAGTGCATGGCAGAGATATAGCATAAAGTTACATTGATAGGACCAAAAACATACTTCAAAGGAAGCATTTTGTCTGTAGACCATGAACATGGTCTGTGTGTATGTATCTGTACAGTCTTAAATGACTCTACATGATTCTATGGGCCAGCTATCTGGGTACCAAGTCTAATATATGAAAGCTTTTTCAAATTTTCTTTGCAAATTATGAGGTAGGTCGCCAGGTGTTTCTCCAAAACTCGGCTTGGGACTGGCGTGCATAATGTGATAAAACATTTCCGTAGCCAGTTTGTACATAAATACTAGGGCTAATTTAGACAGGAGCCATTAACCTACAAGCATGTCTTTGGAGTGTGGGAAGAAACTGAAGTATCTGGAGGAAACCCACAGGAAAACATACAAATTTCATGCAGATAATGTCCTGGCCCAGACTTGAACCAAGGACTCCAGTGCTGCAAGGCATAAGTACTAGCCACTATGCTGACCAATTAATATTAAAGTAGATTTAAAATAAATCACTAAAATCTCATAAGCTTTACAATGCTAATATACACTCACCAGCCACTTTAATAGGTACACCTGTTCAATTGCTTGGTAACAAAAATTGCTAATCAGCCAATCATGTGGCAGCAACTCAGTGCATTTAGATGTGGTGAAGATGACTTGCTGAAGTTCCAATCGAGCATCAGAATGGGGAAGGTAAGGGGATTTAAGTGACTTTGAACATGGCATTGTTGGTGCCAGACGTGCTGGTCTGAGTATTTAAAAAAACTGCTGATCTGCTGGGATTTTCACTCACAACCATCTCTAGGGTTTACAGAGAATGGTCCGAAAAAAAAAGAAAATATCCAGTGAGCGGCAGTTGTGGGGATGAAAATGTCTTGTTGATGTCAGAGGTCAGAGAAGAATGGGCAGACTGATTGCTGCGACATTCAGATGGTAGGGTCAGAATTTGGTGTAAACAACTTGAAAGCATGGATCTATCCTGCCTTGCATCAAAGGTTCAGGCTGTGGTGGTGGTGGTGTAATGGTGTGGGGGATGTTTTCTTGGCAGTAGCAAGGTGTACCTAATAAAGTGGCCAGTGAGTGTAATTTAAATAACAGTCCAATGTGGTCCACTACTCCCTGTCATGAACCCATTCCAGAGAAATGACACACAGTCGTGTAGATCAAGGCTTGAAATTTCCACTCGCCTGCTCGTCAATGGTGACTGGAAATTATGGTGGGGGCGAGTGTGTCCCCCAGGGCCGTCTTGCTGAGCAGCTCGGATCTCAGGCCTGATCTGTCATTGGCACTGGGAGCCGTCAGACTGCTCAATAGCTGAGCGCAGTGAAAGCAAAGGAAGGAGTGTGTGCTGTGCTCTCTGCCTCCCCCTAGAGTGCAGTACCCGGCTCTGTGAGTGAACAATGAAGTTCTGCAACTTTTATAGGGGTGTGTGTGTTTGTGTGTGTCTGTGTATGCATGTACATGTGTCTGCGTGTATGTACATGTATGTGTGTGTGTACATGTGTCTGTGTGTGTGTGTGTACATGTGTCTGTGTATGTATGTACATGTGTCTGGGCCTGTGCATTTCTGTGTATGTACATCTATCTGTGTGAATGCGTGTCTGTACATGTCTGTGTGTGTGTGTATACATGTGTCTGTATGGGTGTGTGTGTACATGTGTCTCTGTGCGTGTGTGTACATGTTTCTGTGTGTGTATGTATGTGCATGTCTGTGTGTGTGTACAGGTGTCTCTGTTTGTGTGTGTTTGTTGGTGGCAAGTAACTCTTAAGGCCTGGCTAGTAGCTCAGGACTGGAAATTTTAAGCCCTGGTGTAGATAAAAGCAAGTGTATGTAGACAGGGAGTGACTAAAAGAGGTTGGAGAGGATCAGTGACACAGATGTAGAAAAGGATCAATAAAAAGTTAAAGCAGTGTTTAAAATATTGTCATATACACACACAGTATATGACAATTTGATACACAGCATTTCAGCAAGCTAGATGTATCAAAGTTAGGGATTAGATCTGCTTTAAAACTGCTTGATAAACCTTTTATTCTGCCAAACTTTAAATAACACCTCTTTTAAGTGTGGCTAGCCCAATTTGCTTGTATTTCTGTTATTCCGTATTTGTCAGAAGCAATCTGTTCATTGTGCACGAGCTGTCAATGTTTGTTTTGTTCAGCTAAACACTATGTTATTTTTTTTTCCTTACCACTTAGTATCTGCATGTTAGTCAAGCAGAGCACACATAATGAGATTACTTCCTAAGTACATTATGAGGAAGAAGCTCATCTTGTATGGTGCTTAGATTCTGTCTGGAAATATTTAAGACATCTAAATCTTTTAAGGTGTTCCTTGTTAAATGACTGTGAGATGACAAATAGCCTCTGTGTATATGATGCAGCTGTCTTTTAGCAATAAGTGAACAGTCTGCAGTTTACTTTTGACAATAATGGCCCTGTATTGTAGTGTATTTGTGTGTGGTACAGCTAAAGAAGTGTATTAGTATGGGATTCTGGAGAACAAAAAAAGTAATTTTGGAAATGAGCTCAGGTCTGAGTTATAATTCACTGAGTGTTAAAATTTACAGTTCAGACAGAGTTCTATTTTAACTGCAGTTAAGGTAAACTTTGATAGAGAAATATACAACAGTCATTACAGAAAACCTTCTGAAAATGCTAATTACCTGGTTGTCATTCAGATTCTTTGGCTTCAGCGCTGAATCTAAATACCAGGTAATTAATTCTGATCTGTTACATACTTGTTTCTGGTTACTACTTAATAAAGTGTTCTAGTAAGGGAGTCAGCAATGGTAATAGTTTTATCTTAATCGTTTAGTATAGGACAAAGGGCTGGTATTTATAGACCAGGGGTTATTTGCTTTTAGCCTTCAGGTGATTGGGCAGTGGGAAAAAAAAACTTTTGCTAGGGCCACACCTTGATTGTACCCATATAAGTCTGCCCACTCCTTGATGCTCCACTTTTTGCTAGTGTGTTTAGGTGATGGACCTGTTCTCCTCTGGAGAAGTATTTTTTTCTTTTTAAACCAGTGATCTTACATTTTTTTTTCATCTGACTTCTCCATCAACATCTGACTGCTTATTGCCTTGTGCTGCCTGGCGGTTTCTGGATCGTTTACCCTCAGTGTGTAATTTGGGAACTGTACTCATATATGTGGTTTGGCCACTAGGTCTAGGGCCGTGGTCTATTTTTGTGGTTTCCAGACCCTGAAGACCCCTTTGAGGTATATGCCCACTGTGACCTTAATATGGCCCAGCATTGTGGATAAGGAAAGACAGGGTTTCCCTGTACATGGACTTCATTTACCAGCTTTACCAACATTGTCTGCAGGTCATAACACATTATGCAGTTTAGTCAGCAGAGGTTTGGGTATTATTCACTTTTTTTTGTGGCACCCTCTGGCTTTTGACTCTAATTTCTTAGCGAACAATTTTAAATTTGGCATTTTACCCTTCCTATCTGGACCTAGGATGAGTGTAGCCACATTGCGCGGCCCAGATGATTGTTTCCAGCCACCTCTTCTGCCAAAAATGCAAACAGTACAATGCTGCATTGCCGTGGCCATCTTATACAGAGACACAACCATAGGAACTCAATTAGTGCATGGGTTTTAGCCACTCTTTCTCTGGACATACACACTTCATCCATTCCACAGTCTTTGAGTACCACACTGGATATCCACTCACCTTGAAAAAAGACATAATTGCATGCTTTCCGCAGACAGACTACAGAACACTCCTCAGTGTGATAGCTGTTCCCTTGACCCAGAGCAATGTTCTATTCTGACACTGCTCCCCTCATTTGTCTCTGGATCCCTCTCGGGCATACGCCACTGTCTGACAAAAACATATTTCTCTTCCCCTTTGTCTGATAATAAATTATTATGCAACATTGTGTGAAAATCCACCACAAAGTGCTGATTAACCGTTGTGCAAAATGCTGTCTTCTCAGTGTATCCTGCATACTGCGTGAACTTCACCTCCATATGCTGAGTACTCGCCAAGTTTCTTTCAAACTCAATTCATGAAAGCAACCAACAGTGTCCATTTCAAGTAACTACCCAATCTTCTGACTATCACATCACATAAGCTTATAATAATCAGTATGTCTCTGCAGCCTCCAAATCCCCTCCAGAATAAAATGGCACATTCATCTTTCTCATCCTAGATCATAGACAATAAAAAAAGAATATAGCATAAAATCCTCTTTATTCACAATATTCACAATATTTCTTCCCTAATGTTTAACTCAAAGACTCTCAGGTCACAAAGGCTCCCCTCAATATGTTTCTGCATGATGGTTCTGGGTCTCATTGTAGCCACCTTCAAGGCAGCCTCCTTTGCCTAATTTCACTCCAGACCCCTTCAATCCAAAATTCTCAAGATGTACAACAAGCAAATCCAATCCTTGAATTGTCCAGTGCTTCAGGCGAAGATCTCCATGACACAGTAAATCTCCAGTCCTGCCCTGGAATTAGGGAAGTCATTCCCTCTCAGGACGTGGAGACTACAGTGTGAGCCTTACAGGCTGGGGTAGGCTTTTCAACTCGCTGACTCTTTTGGGTACATAATCCTCACAGGCACCAACAACTTTGGATCTTTCTTCTACAAGGTCACCCAATTAGAGTATAATCAGACAATGCCACATCAGTGGATTACATAATCCATCAAGGGCACCATAAACCTTACAACCGTGACAGAAATTATTCTTATGAGCAGAATCTTACATTCCAATTCTCTCAGTAGTTCACTTTTCAGGAGATAACAATTGGCAGGTAGGTTTTTCCAAGCTGCCAATGTCTAGATCCAAGAGAATGGTTTCTGCCCACAAAGATTTTTCAAAATGCCTGTCAAAGGTGGGGAAAACCAGATGTAGACATCCGAGAGGTTCAGCAACAAGCTGAACAAATTTGTAGCCAAGACCAGAGATTCTCTAGACTTCACAGTAGATGTTCTGATAATTCTTTAGACTTGATTCCTACCTGTTAATGTCTTTCCTCTAATGAAGATTGTCCCTTGATTGCTGTGCAAGATAGAGGAGGAAAGGGTGCTGGTGATTCTCATTGCACCAAATTGACCCAGAAGAATGTGGTACACAGACATCTGGTGGACAAACCATTGCCCTCTTCCAAACATTCCAGACTTTCTGACCCCAGACCTCCTGTTTCATCCTATTTCTCAATCACAAGCTTCACTGGTCATGGAAGCTCATGTCCTGAATCACAGGAGTATCTTTGAGCAAGGAAATCCAACCCCAAGAAGATTTTCTATCACGCATGGAAGTCCTTCTTTGCATGGCATGAGGACAGAAGCCTTAACCCTGAGTAATACTCTGTTTGTTTTTTGACATTTCTTCTGGTCTTGACCAGCTTTTGGCCCTGAATACCCTCAAGAGACCAGTTCTTGCCTTATCTTCCTTTTCCAGAAACTCTTCACCTCCCAATCCTTTTCTTTAGGCAGTTGCTCATGTCATTCTCCCAATTAAACTTCCTGTGTAACTTTGGGATCTTAACCTAGTGTTCTTTGCTCTTAAAGTAGTAGTAAACTGGAAAAAAAAAAAAAAAACCTTTTTCCCCTACAAAGCAAAGTTATAATGTGCTAGTATGCATCGCATGCTAGCACATTATGTTAACCTTACTTAAATTAAGCCGTCCAGCAGTGCGCTGTCACCTCTGACAGGGTTTCCATCTTCACATAGTTACATAGTCTGGCTGAAAAAAGATAAAAGTCCATCCAGTTCAACCATTACAAAAAAAAAGTTATAATCCTACACCCACAGTTGATCCAGAGGAAAGCAAAAAAAACACAGCAAAGCATGATCCCTTTTGCTCCTGCAGGGAAAAAAATTACTTTCTGATCCCCAGTAAAAATAGACTTTACTGCCACTTTAACACACTCTAGGGGCGACCCTATCAAACATTTTTGCCAGTGAGCAGTCACCTAAAGGTTGCAACATATAACCTATAATCTTTGAATACCAGTCTTGTGTACTGTTCTCCAGGATGAGGAATTAACGGGTAGGTCAAAATTCCTTTTTTTCCATTTAGAAGAAACTCTAGTCAAGTCTGACACATCAGTAAACTTTTTTATCTGGGTATGTGTTCTTGCTTTGTCCATTTGTGTCTGTTAGCTGAACCTGAAAACAAAACAAAAGGTTGCAATTTACAATTCACCATCCCCTGCTGAGGGTAAGTCTATCATTGCTGATAAGGGGCATAGATGTTGTGCATGAAACGACATTTTTTTTTTTTTTAAGTGCAACTAAAGGCATACTGTTTTGTTTTGGGTTTTGGATAGAGTGGAGAGGGATTAGGACTCCAGTCAGTTTTTATTGCTGCCTGTGCCCCCATTAGGGGGATTCACCCTCTCCATTTGTCCTGTTTACCTTTTATCAACGAAAGTATAAGTAAAACAAAATCCCAAATTTTGGGATGACATCTGAACACTAAGAGTGGGGAAATCTTCCAAAGGGAACACTAGTTCTGGTGAAACATCGGGATTACCTCACTTTGGAGATATTTCCTCTCACTTCCTATTTTGGCTGTGGAACAGGAAATGAAGGGAAATCTCCCCATTGGGACACAGATGGCAAAAAAACTGATAAGGGGTTTTAACTCTCCATTTACTCTATCCCAAATAAAAAAAAAATACCATCAGCTACACGTTAGGGTTTTGTATGCTGTCAGCAATCCAAAGTCAGCAAAGAGTTTTGCCAGACAAAGCCTTAATTTCCTCTTAC